TAATTGCCCAGCCGGCATGGCTCAGTGGTTGAGCATCGACCTATGAACCAGGAGGTCATGGTTCCATTCCTCGTAAGGGCACTTGCCCAGGTTTCGGGGTCTGTCCCCAGTAGGGGGCGTGCAGGAGGCAACTGATCAATCATTGACTCTCTCTCATCATTGATGTTTCTATTTCTCTCTCTCCCTTCCTCTCTGAAGTCAATAAAAACATATTTTAAAAAAAGATAATAGAACACACAAAATGCATTGTGTCATTCAGGATTGGATCCTGGTCCAGTAAGGGGGCATTAGTAGCTCATCTGATAAAATTTAAATAAGATCTATAGATTAATTAATAATATTTGTTAATAATATGATTGAATATGGTGTTAATCTCCTGGCTTTGATCATGGATCTGTCGTTAAGTTAACACATAGGGAAGCTGAGTGAAGGATAAATGGGAATCTGTTGTATTGTTTTTGCAAGTCTGAAGTTATTTGTCAAGAATTATGAAGGATCTAAGATTTTACCCTGCTTGTAAGCTAACATCTTAACTTACTACAGTTTTATTGATGCTGGCAGAAGACATGATTCTTCTGGGTCAGGGACAAAGGACTTTATTATTCATGGCACATGGAAAAGCATGAGCTTCATGGTCACACTGGTGCCACATGTCCCCCCAAGTCCTATGTAGCTGACATAGGTTAGTCAGAAACATGCTACACAGGCAATGAGTTTGTATCACATGGCTTAAGAAATCCTATCTCTTCTAAGAGGTTGTATATAAACCTACCCAAACTTTGCCCTGCACAGAGACAACGTCGTCATTATGTGGCCGAATGAACTAATCCTCTTCTTCAAAGGTAGACATTCTCTCTATTATCCAAGGATGTTCCTATGCAAATATTCTTAAAGAGATAGTCCAGAACAAAAGGCTCTCCATACCTCTCTTCATAAAATGTGCAGAAACATGAGAAACCAATGGAAAATTATCTCCTAGCAATTTCAAAATAAAGAGATTTTAAAAATCTAAAGAAAACAAAATGGAAGTCCTAGGAAAGGTGTTTTTACCTCTATGTTAAAAATAATAAATTGAATCACAGAAAAATTAAGGAACTTGCTTACATTTTACCTTTAGTGAGAAGAATCAGAACTAAAACATCAAGTCACCTAAGCCTCCAGTCCCATACTTAGACTCTTTGTCCAAAGAGACCCATCACCACATTGTCTGTGCTTCCACATTACAAAGGGTGTCAGACCAGCCAAGATCTCCTTGGTGCATCTTCCTTAGTTCTTAAAGATATATTCCTTCCATTATGCATTAATTTGTCTTCTAACCATACAGTAAGAACTTTCCTAATAATCAAAATTTTTAAAAATGTAAATGTCATCTCATGGTACAGCTGTATCTATGTAAATTTTAGAGTGTTGAGTTTAAAATTGAGACTATCAAAAAAAAAAAATTCCAAATCAATACCTCCACGGTTCTAAGCTGATTAACCCAAATCTCTCCTGCTGTATTTCCTGTTATTCTGTCTTACAAACACACTTTTCCATGAAATATACCTTCCTAGACTTGAAATCCTTAAAACCTCCACTTCTGAAAAACCTCTGAAAACTTTCATCAAAGGAAAAGCTTAAAATCATGGGGGGAAAGAAGGAACAGGGAGTAAAACAAGCTGTCCCTGACCAGTCTCACTCTCAAAAGGCCAGGCAGAAGGTCAAAAGGGCTGAGGCCACTGCATCTAAAAATGGGGATTACACCCGGGCCTGCTGTGGATAAATACTCAACTTCCTTCCGTGGTAAAATCATTGAAAGAGGAACCTTGGAGCCGAAAAATTGACCTCAAGTGTTTCTGTGGCCCAGACCCTGTCCTCAGGAAGGGAACATCCAGCAAGACGGTTATCTAGGGCAGTATTTCTCAAATATTAGTGAGCATGAGCTCACCCTGTCCGGGGGAGACTGGGGACAGACCTCTGGGCAGGCCTCAGAGTTGCTGATTTAGCAGATCTGGGATGGCACCTGAAAATGTGCATTTCTAAGAAGTTCCTAAGTAATGCTGCCACTGCTGCTGGTCGGAGGACCACACGCAGTGCACGAGTCCAGGCTGTAGCTCCGATTAGGGCAGGAGCGTCCTTGTCTTCGCAGTTCCAGATCCCAGTGGGCAGCAGGTGCTGTGAATGTTTGGCCAGTTCCTGAGCTCAGAGCTGCCTATTCGACCTCCCTTAATCTCAGTTTCCTCCTCTGGATCAGAGTGTACCACTTAAAGGAAGTATTAAGGGAAGACTTAAGGGAGCCAAGTATTTCAAATGCCAAGAAATGTGCCCAGAGGGCTGATGCCCTGTTTCCAAACTGCCAGTCAATTGTCCCATCTCCTTCTGGGCCTACCCAGCCTTGAATAAAAGAAGAACTAAGTGAAGAAGAAATGGGAGCGCCACTGGAAGTGGTAGGAAACTGGCATTAGCAGCCTGGGAGGGAGAATAGAGAACCAAGCCTGAAGCTGAGCAGAGGTCATAACCACAGAGCTGGCCCAGGCAGAAGTGGCGAGCTGGGTCAAGCCTAGGAAGGAAGAGGGGATACGAGACTGGGGACCCAGAGGGAAGTCAGGCTGGCCAGCTCCGAGCTTGACCTCCACAGCCCAGTTAGACTGGGCACCCAGTGTGCCTCTCCTTGTGCATCCCTGCAGCTGTCAGTCCTGTTGTCGTCGGGGCCTTCCCAGCTCGAAGCTGCTCCTTGACTCCTGTGGGGAAACAGCTGCAGCATTTCTCCTCCTGAATGTACTTCCCGCCGCCCTGCCACTCGCTCAGTCCCATAGGGAGGCCATCAGGGGGTGAAATGCACATAAACACACATAAGCATCTATAGCTGCACATATTTACAGAATTCTCTCCCTTCCCCCTCCCGCTGCTGTCACCCCCAACAGTGGCTCCAGACGGTCAGCCACCTCCACCTGAGCCAGCTTCTCTCTCCACCCCTCAGCACCTACATTCCCAACACCTGGGACTAAGTGTTCCCATGGGGTTCTCCCCAGGATGGGGACCAAGATCGATTTAACAAACACCCCACCCCCCCACACACACACCAATAGGACAGCGGGTGGAAGATTGGGGGAGGGGGTGACAACTCTGTAGACTGCAGTTGATTTGCTGCTCCTTAGAGGACCCAAAATTTTTTCTTAAAGAAAAAACGTAGAAAGGTCCCAACTCCTGATTGGCCAGCAGCTGGACTCTGGAATGCCTAGATTACCGTATTTGCTCACATAGAAGATTCTGATGCAAAAGAAATGTGTCCTATTTGCCAAGCCATGAGGTAGTAAAAATGGCAGCAACAGCACATTTATTTCCCTAGTAAGGTCCTATCTCGCTTTCCAGCCTCCACTTCCATAACTATTGCCCTAGCAATCCCAGTTTTGCAGGGGCCCCATCTTGGCAAGAAACTAAGGCTAAAGTATATAGCTCACACAGAGAACAAGGACCTCTCTGGTTATTTTCCTTGAGATTCATCCTTTAAGCGCACACCACCGTTGCTTCTCCAAGGCAAGTATATATGGTATTTCACGTGAGGAATGTTCTATTCACAATCTTCTACCTTTTTGGATAGGGGAAGGGATTCGAATGACATTAGAGTTGATCAATTCTCCAGTGCCTGGAGCACTCCTCCCCCATCATTGCCCTCCCCCACCCAGAAACCTTCCTTCCAACATCC